TGCTGTTTTAAGTAAAGCATCTGGTTCCAAATGATTTCTGTCCAGGATCCCTCAAATAATTCAGATGGTGGCATGAAGAAATAATTTAGGTTTAAACTCTGGCACCATCACTCCTAAGATATATGAACTTGGATATGTCTCTACCTGTAACAGAAATATAACAGCACCTGTTTCATACCTTTGATCTGAGGATTAAATGACTTGTGTCATGTAAATTATATGCGGTTAAAAGTTTGGTAATTTTTCATCTTGCCAGATGACAAAAGTAGGAGTATCCATGAAAACCACATGTGGCCATGCCTGCCCACCTTGGACAGGAATGTACACAGATCAGCAGAGACACCCCCAAAACAATGGTGGGAGAAATCAGGTCACACAGAAGGCAGGCCCTTCAGTCCTCTGGTAGAGCTCATGCTTTCCCTGGAAATATTAGGTGAACATCTACACCCAAACTTTTCCAACACTATTTGTTAAAATGCAGATCAGTGCTGACTCAATAGCTCTGAAGTAGGGACAAAAGCTGTTAACATGTCTCAGGTGCTACTGATGCTACTGGCACATGGACCATGCTGAGTAAAAAGGATCTGAAGTGTAAGTGTGACATAACAAGAACTATTTTTTTTTTTTTTTAATTTTATGTATTTGGTATAGGGTCTCACTATGCAGCTCAGAATTGTAGCGATCCTCCTGTTTCAGGCTCCCCAGTGCTGAGATTACAGGTGTGCACCACCACATCCAGTCTTGGTGGCCAGCTCAGCATGCCTGGGGCAGGGCCAGCACAGCATGTGATACCAGGGATCAAACCTTGGTCCTTGAACTTGCCTAGGCAGGCGCTTAGACTGCTGAGCTATCTCCATGGTCCAACAAGAACTATTTATCAACTGTTTACCACGTACCTGTTACTAAGAGAGTCAGGTGACCTTAGTTTTCAAGACCTTGTAAGGTTAAGTGCAGTTCATCTCATTTCTAGATGAGGAAACTGCTGCACAGAAAGGTTTCTTCATCACACAGCCAGTAGAGGTTGGACCTTGGGTTCTAATTCAGCAACCTGGCCCCAGAGCTTGCTAGCAATATAACTCCAACAGTATAGGGAAGACAATCTATGAATAGAGTATGTAGCAGGAAACAGCAAGGATACCAAAGTGAGTGGGTGAGAGATAATGAAGGCTAAGCTATGGAATGGCTGTGGAATAGGAAAAAGGGATATAAGAGAATGGACTGTATTTGGTGGCTGTTTTAGTCAGGGTTTACAGGGAAAGGAATTAATACAGGACAGTTTATAGGATTCTTTTGTAATAGTCACCTAAAGAGTCAAATGCATGCGTGTGAGAGATCTGTCCACACACTAGAGACCCAAAGAATCCAGCTGAGGGCCTGAATCTCACGGCAGTGTCCTGCACAAGTCTAGCTGAAGACCTAGAACCCATGGCAACATTTTCCATGATTCTATCTGGAGGCTTAGAGCCCACAACATCCCAGGCCAGTCTGTATCAAGGATCTGCACTGGGAAGGTCCACAGGTAAGTGGTGGAAGCTAGAAAAGTCAGTGCGAGTGGCTAAGGGATCTGCACTGGAACCAAGAAGCAACTCTCAAGGTAAGAACCTGAGCTCCCCCAAAGAGAACTACAGCCACCCTCCATGACAAGGACCCTAGCTCCTCCAATGATAAGAGCAGAGTCCATATCAGGAACACTAGGAGGACTAAGAGCACACTATCTTCCTCTCCAGTTCTTTATTCTGTTGGCAACAATATTCAGGGAGGACACACACCTAGCACCATGCTGATTCAGATCAGCTAGGTGTTAGAAATTGACCATTAATTAATCCACCAAAATGGCAGACTGGCATACACAAAGGGGACCAAGTTAAGAGGATTCTGGATTCCTTGTCTAGACAATGTGAGACATGGTTATACTTCTTTCTGAGCTAGAAAACACAGGCACAAGAACAAATCTCATGAGAAGGTGAGGACAATATGAAGTGGCTTTTGGTCACCTGGGAGACATGAAGAAGTAGAGTCTACTCAGTAGATGATTTGGGTTGCTGATAAAAATTCAGGTGTTGGTGTAAGTAAAGCCACAAGTGACTGAAGTCACATGTGCAGACTGTCCTGTTCTTCATAAATGGAAGAGACTGGAATCCAGGTACCCTGGACAGTGAGAAGAATGGCTCTGTCCATCCCATTGGATATCTTGGATCTAGGGAGCAGGCAGACCATAAGATACTGACAGCTACAGGAAAGGGGGTTTGGGGAGTCTTTCTTCAGTGCTGAGGGTTGAACTCAGGGCCTTTATAGCAGGAATGTCCCCAACCCCAGCCCCATTTGAGATAGGTCTCTCAGTAACTTGTCTATGCTGTTGTTCAACTTGCAATCTTCCGGGCTTGTCCTCCTAGAGTGCTCAGATTACAGCTGTCAACCACCACATCTGCCTGCTTTTGGAGTTCTGGGGTAACTAAGTCTAATCAACTGTCCCATCCCTAGACAAGCAGAAATAAAGATAATTCCACAGAGAAAGACAAACTGAATAAAGTTTGGGAAATATTTATTTTCTTCAAACAAGTCATAAATAACAAAGAAACAAAGTAGGTCCCAGACTCTGGACCATGCAGCAGGACAGGAAAAGGAGGCTGTTGGGTGAAAGGTGGAGGGAACTACCTAAAACAGTCACAAAAAAGATGGGCTTTAGGAGACTTCCCCTCTTTGCCCTTGCAAATGCATGCCTGGGCAACAGGGGGAGACCTCAGTGCTGGGATGAGGCAGCTAGACAAGGGCAAAGACTGGGGGTGCAAGGTTGCAATGCAGAGTGACATGGAAACCACAAACAGCAAAGAGAAGCTGGAGAAGGCAAGTGGGCACTCTGTACACCTCCAGGAACCAACTATGAAAATGGTTAAATTATTAAAAAACAATCCCACAGGCTTCAGCCTGTGGCTTTGTGCATGGGCTGTATTTAACCTGGGTTGCTCTTGGGCAGATAAGGGCACAAGAAGCCCCTGGAGCAGCCTGGCCTCAGCCCAGGGCAGGTGCCCAGACATGTGAGAGGGGGACAGTGGGCTCACCCAGATAGGAGGCCATGTGCTTGGACTGCCTGGACCTGATTTTCAGGCTGGTTTCTTGTGATGCTTGCTATCCACCACCCCTCCCTGTACCTGGGTCTTCTGAACCTGTTAAGAGTAAAACTAGGATAAAAAGGTATCCTGGCTGGTATTTTATTTGAAAGGGAAAAATAAAGATCACCATGTGCATTGTCCATCCCATGAGGTAAGGCAGGACCACGCCAAGAACAATATCAAGGAATGAAAGTCCCTGAGCCTGGGGAAACATTTGGACCCAAGTGCATTGCCAGATGCCATTAACCAAAGCCCAGGGTGGTAGCTCTGGAGGCTTCACCCTAAGCAAGGCAAGGAGGACAGGCAGGGACTATCCTTGCCCAGGGAAGGGGTAGAAGCTGAGGACTCTAGACGGAAAGGCCAATGCTGGACAAGGGGCCTGGAAAATAATGCTTTGGGTAGGAATACACAACAGGGTTTATACATATAGGGATGTCCATCTATGGGAAGCCAGTGTCACATGGCTGGGCAGAAAGGTGAGGAGGAAAACAGCGGTATCACAGTGGCCTCTGGTGCGATGTATTTACAACAGAGCTCAATGTTGAGGACAGGGTGGATAGCAGGTCACTAACAGCCAGGAAACACACTGTCAAGAATGAAAAGAGAACAAAATCAAGTTTAATCATTGCTAGCTTTTCCTCTATTTATCATGTCCTCTTTTGGAAGCCATATTCTAATGATTATTATGGCCCTTGCAGGTCTGTATCCTCAATGCCCCATCCACAGTTAGATACAGGATCTGCTTTTAGTGTGCTGTTCATTGGACAAAGGCTCCAAATAGTCCAGGAATCTCAGTCAAACTGTTTATTCAGAAAAATTAAATCTTCATTGTTCACTCTACTTCTCAATGGTTCAGTTGTTAAGAGGTGTGAAATGACATAAGAGTGTACCAGGCCCCTGTCATCATCTCTTGATGCCTAATAAGTCTGTCAATAAGGCCCTGGCATTCATAGTTGAAGGCAGAGAAAATTTCTTCAAACTTTCTGAGGTTAGGGAAGCAGCTCCCCTGAACCTTCACCTTTCCAATGGCAAGAATGATTCATCTTTCCAATGACAAGATGCTGACAGAATAAGAGCCTTCGGCAGCACAGACTAAAAGCTGGTTAAAGTTTTAAGACCCTGGTTAAGGTTGACCTGCCTCTTCCTCCTCTTCAACAAAGCCTGACAGTCTCTAATCAGATGAAAAGCTTTCCAGTGTGATGTGTCTGGCTCCTATTCTTCCTCTAGACCAGTAGTTTTCTTAGCTTTGCTTCCCTTGAGACATACTGAAATACCTGGAGGCATTTTTAGTTATAAAACAGTGTATAGGAGGTGCTATGGACACCTAGTGAGTAGAGCTCAGGAATGCTGCTCAACCTCCTACAATGCACAGGATAGACCCCAAAAACAAAGAATCACACAACCTGCAATGTGCAGGGGTTGAAAACCCTGCTTTAGATTTCTACACAAATTCCATCTCATCTCAGTAGTAGAGCAGAAGACATAAGAGAACTTCTCTACAAAAGTACTGATTCCTAACCCAGCCTCCTCAGAGAAGGAATACTTCAAAAAGAAATGCACATCACAGTGAGGGGCAAGAGATAAAGCATGACTTAACCATGCAACCCCTCAATATGGGTTTGTAGAAGCACACATGACAGGGTTGATATTGTGGAAGAGGAAGAGGTATGGTGACCCAGACTAGGGGGTGGCTAGGCAGAGATAATCACAGCCCTGCTGGCACTGCAGGGCTCTCAAACTCTTGCACCTCCTTACCACTGGAATCCACCGATGGGCTCTGCAAACCTATGCCGGATCAGAAAAGTGGCAACAGCTTCAGCTACCTGGAAGGGGAAGAGATATTCCAAGTAATATGAAAATTAGTGATGGTGCTTAGCCTCATGGGCTTCTTCTCGAAGGTTTGATGATGTCCTCCTGAATCCCATCAGTCTGAGTACCCTGAGGTCAAAAGAACAAGGGCTATGAGACTCCTCACCTTCATCATTGCCAAAAAATTTCTCCAGACAGATCAAGAGGAATGAGGGTTTATTTCTCTTTTACAGTCACAAAGTACCTTCTTCCACAGGAAGAATCCTTATTAGCTCCCATATCTACAGTTTAATGTACAATTTGAGCCCTCATCCTCCCTTCTTCCATCTGGCCCATAAAGGTAGTAATAGAGTAGCAGAGCTTAACAGTGTTATTCTTTGGACCACGGGATGAAACAGCAGTTCCTCAGCCAAGAAACACAAAGGCAAGAGACCACAAGAAGCTGAGAGATGTCTAGAAACCTCTCTCAGACCCAACAGTAGCTCTTTTAGGTAAGCACTGAGATTCAGGGGCTTGTCCAATCTGCTGTAACAACCAATATCCTCCAGTTTTTCCTTTAGACTCACCTTGTCAGGGGCATCCTCATGGACTGCATGACCACACTGGGGTAGGACCTGCATCTGAAACTTTCCTAGAAAGAGAATAAAGTAAGGCAATCTCATGGATTTAAAATAATTTTTTCTTCACCACCTCTAGAGCTTCACAGATCACTCCAAGTACCCAGCACCTTATGCCCAAACTACACTGGAGCCAATCACCAAGTCTTCGATGAAGACATTAATA